CAACAACCAGAGTTGCTTAGATAAATAGCAAAGCATATCCAAAAGAAATAAGAGTAAGCGTCAAAGAAAATCCTTAGGTCAGCAACATTTAAACAACATTGTTTCAAACCAGCAGTATTTTAAGCAAGCCAACATTTCTTAGATTTCAGCATTAATAACGCACTCTTTTGAAGCTGCCAACTCAACGAGGAAAAAATGCAAAACACAATGTATTTAATTTCCTGTATGTTAGCACCATCACCTCTGTTAGAAAGCTGGCACTCCGTTATGTTTTAAAATAAAGTTATCTCACGTTCATCCACTTGAAGTGGATGAGAAACCATTTGCACAGGCTCCCGATGGGTGCTGGTAAGCTGACAGCAGGACTCTGGGCAGCCTGCAGGCCTCTGAAATTGACTTGGTGGAGCACAGAGGGCAGTCAGCACCAGCTACGCTGTGTCCTGTCCCACCTGGCGGCGTACATCAGCATTTTTCCCCCCGACCCAGCTCAGGCATCAGTGCACAGTGCTATTCCTCTGCAGCGGTCCTGGGGAATTCCTCAGAGCTCAGAATCAGGAAGATACAGATTTACATATTAATGTACTGCTGAAGTATAAAAGCTCAGGAAAATGGAAGCAGCCCTAAGTACAGGCAGCTGGGGTCAGCTTGCAGACACTCAGTCTCCAAGCCAGCTCTGGTGCTGGGACATCTTAATGTCTCATCTCACTTCCTTTCCAGGAAGTCATCCTGGATAAGTTCCACACAGAGAAGAGAACTTCTGGCCATAGCTTTTTCCTTCTTAATTTCTCTTGTTTATTTGAATGCGTTACCTGCTCATTCTCACCTGAAGGGAATGTTGGAGAAAAAACACTGCCATGGAGAAATTTTCTTCTTAATTACCACCAGTTGAAAGTTTTTATTGATGTGTACATGTCTGAGTCCACAGGAGAGGCATAACAGGGTGTGTTGCAATTCAATAGATCATCAAAATGGGCTTTGTTTTAGCTCTAGAGGTCTTTAGGAGAATAAAGCCAAGATCCAGGGAAGATGTGAGATTCCTGCTGAAAGACTTCGTCAGGTCCCCATTGGAAGCCCACATGGTGCTGACCTCTGCCAGCATCTGTGCCAGTGCATGTGTGTCAGCTGCTGAGGAGCATCCTGCTGTAATGGACAGTGAATCACCATGTGCTGAAAGTGCAGCCTGTGATACATGGAGGGCGTACAATTCCCTTGAATTTTATGACTGATAAAAGAATTATTTTCTTTCCTTTAGAAATGTTTTTTGGCACTGTGGAACAGCTTCATATGTATGTATTTATAGATCTGGGCAGTAATTTCTCTCCACAGACTTAAAATCTTACCCAAAGAGTTCAACTAACCAATGTATGCTGCCTGTACAGCCTTTCTTCCCCTTCCTCCCGTTCCCCCCTTGCCTGAGAGCAGTGTGTGGTTTTACTGCCGTGGTTGCTGTTCTGAGGCATTTGGTGAGTTCTGAACACAAGCTGTGGCCAATCCGTTGTCTGCAGACCGTTTTCTGGAAGTATCTCTTTCACACCAAAGAGCTCAATGCCATTTATTAGTTGACTTCACCACGTGCTACTTCTCCCATGAGATTATCCACTTTTCAAACTCACTTTACTTCCAGACAATAGTGTCAAACTAGGGATATGCTTGCTTGTCCAAAATGGATGCTCAGAGGTGTGGACAGACCATGTTTGGTGCAGGAGGGGCAAGAAGCTGGAAGGGAAAAAGAGAAAGGAACCTTCCTGGAAAGATGGGTCACTGAAACGGCTTTTACGCTTCATGGGTACAAGGAGTGGTTAAGCAGCTATAGCGTGTGGACACGCTTTAAAGCAATTTCTAGTTACAAACATCTGGAAACAGGCTCTGTGAATAGAGTTCACAGCGGGTGGGACAGTCACAGATGACTCACGTGTGACTAACACCAGCACTTCCCTTAGAGGCCAAGACCCAACGCTGCCTTGAGGACACACAAAGGCAGCAGCACTGCTGGAAGCAATTCTCCACGTGACAGGGACTTGCACAGCTTGCCCCAGGACAACAACTTGTCACGTACATCACTGTGCATTTGGATGGGAAAGCTCTGCGTTCCACAGCAAAAGAAGAGATTGTGGGTGTTGGTCTCTGTGTTGCAATTAGGCCCAGAGCGACTAAAGACCGGCAGTGTCAGACAGAGCCTGTGGCTTTGCTGTGGATACCTCCATAAATAATTAACATATTATTCATCTGCTTGAATGCACACTGCCCAGAACACCTGCTTCAATCTTCTCTGGGGGCTTTTCAATAAAACCTGTACAATTCACTGAGGCCTGAATAGCTCTGATGCTTTAATACTCACAACTTCATTTTGAAATAAGAGCTTGTGTTGCTGATTGGAGCTGTGAAAAAAGGTGTTACTGCTGCAGAACAAAACTCAGATGGCTGCAGAAGTGGGTGGGGTATGAACTGGGGTTTGGGGAAGTATGGCTACAGAGACCAGGGAGTAAGTCCTGCTTTCAATAGAAGTCTGAGGGGGGAGGGGAATGCTGGGGTTCAAGGAATCATTTTTGGATCAGAATTGCATTGGCAGCTGTTCAAACTGGCTGTTTGCCACCTCATACTGCTGTTATTTGGTGCTACAGAGAAGCTTAGGCACTTGAGAGATTCTCTGCTGTTGTAAACAGACACAATTTGACTGAAGTTAAAGGAGGGAGCTGGTTTATACCAGCTGACAACATGGCCTTTAGTTTGCTCTAAAAATGACAAACTGTCTCTGAGTAACAGCAAACTGTTTTTCTGCAGAGGTGGCATTGATGCTGGGTACTGGCATGTGCCTCCAGCTTTCTTTCAATGCTGTCAAAAATCCTCATCCAACTTTGAAAGCTCTATGCAACATGTCATTATCCCAGCTACAGACAGAGGCTGCACACCTGTGTGGCAGTGCCCTGACCTCCTCCAACCTCTTCCATGTAACTATTACCTTTGCTGAGTCATAAGAAATTTACATCACTGTTGTTTTTACACCAGCTCCACCGACAAATGCAGCCTCTGAGAATCCATCATTCCAATTCATTTCCATTCAGCTATAGGACTTCAAGGTCATCCGCTGATCCCAGCTGATCTTAGAACTGCTGTAGGACCTCTCCTGTGCTCACCAGGGAGACAGGGAAGGTGCAGGGCTCCAGGAGATCCTGTGGTAGAGGAGGAAGTACAGGCTGGTGGCTCCCCACCTTCTTGCTCTAAGCCAGGACAGCCCATCGCTTTGAGATTTGAAAAGTGAGCGCAGCAAGGAATCATAACTTCCAGATGTAGAAAACTTGTTAGCAGGAGCACTGGCCTGCATACTCCAGATGCTTTCAGGACTATTCATATCCACATGCATTTACTCTCTATGATACATGTTGGTATTTTCCATTTTGAGCTCTCCCATTACTAGATGTAATAATACAGGCTTATATACTCACAGACACTTATATTTGAAAACAGAGCTGTATGAATGGATAGCTTTTTGATATCAGTTTTGTTCTTGGTCAATAAAAGCATAGAAATACTATAAAATTGAAGCTGGGTCCCACAGAACCGTGTTATTTATCATTACTCTAAAAGAAACGCCACCAACACAGTAATTAAGCTTTCTTGCAACTTCTAAAAGAGAAAATAACAAACTTGTCATTGGTTTACAACTGTTTAACCAGCTGTTGACTAAGAAGTATGAGATCTGACTTCCAACACGGGTATTCTCAGCCTATTATGTAATTTTTAATTTAAGCTCTTTTGCCTTTTCCTTTGAATGGAACAGTAATGCCATAAGCAAAAGTTTACAAAAGAATGCAACAGAGCAATCATTAGCTTGGCATAACCTTTCTCCTACCATTAGACAAAATCAATTGCACACAATGCCATGCCAGAGCTAGGCTGGAGATTACCTGTGACCTCCTTGGCAGGCAGCCCCAGGGACAGGGGAGAGGCCAGTGGCCAGCAAGAACCTCTCAGTTTATGACAGACCCTTGTTGTCTAACATCTAGAAAACACGTCTCACTTCAGGGACACACATTTCAGGGAAAATACAGAAAAATTAAGTGAGTAGTGCCAGCAAAAACATGGGTGTACTTACAATAGCTTTGTAATGCGATAAAGAGTGTCATACAGAGTATGACATGCTGTCCAGACAGAACCAGCATTCTCCATTAATCTCATAATCAACACATTGATTCAACTTTCCCTCTCAAACAATAACCTCATTGCAGATCTTCTCCTATTTCTGTCCTCAATTAATGACATCCCTTCTCACACCATCACACTTAAGGCATCACCAGCTTAGCTGGTGCCTTTATCTTCACCTTTCTCTTCAGATACGTGTTTGTGTTGTCCTGTATCTGGTCCTGTTCCTTTTGGAGCTGACCGATAACCTCTTGTGAGGGACTGGGAGTGGGTCTGAAGTCTTTAATCAGGACCCACTGTTGGGTTTTCTCCCACTTGAAGCAGAAGAGTGAGGGAAAGTCTGGTTTTTGAACAGAGCCCCAGACCATGCTGGTGCCTTTTGCACCACAGAAATGTACAGAGAGAAGGAGTGGGGACCCAGATCAATCCCCACACAACTCAGCAGCAATTAGTCAAAAACCATTCACAACAGCTCCACCTCATGCTCTCCCATTCCATTTTCCCAGTTTGCCATGTTTGCACTCTTACAAGACTCTTTCCAAGACCTTCTTCCTCTGAGGAGCCATCTCCAAGCGATGCTGCATACCCCAGTTGCCTCTGCTGGCAGCCATCTGCCCTCTTGCTTTGTCCGGGCGCCACCGCAAAGTCCTCTGGGGCGGTGCTGGGCCCTGTGCCGCCATTTTGGGCTGCCTGACAGACTCTGAGGGTCCAGCTGGAGGAACCCTGCTCACTGCATGCCCTGAGGGCCGCCCATCTTGCTTCAGCAGGAGTGACACAGACAGGGACAAGCTCACTTTCATGCATGACAGAGGTTGGTATTTTGGATTCCTAAGCACAGTTTTCAGCAGTTGAGAACTTACCCAGAAAGCAGGAGTAGAGCTTCATCTGTCCGCCTCCTCACAATGCGAACATTCACCATCCAGCCAGCATGCCAGCACCTCAGTTTGTCATTTGAGTTAGTGATTCCTAGTGGGCTTTATTTATATCTTACAGTCCTGTTTCCTGAAGCAAAGACAGGCGCTCAGAGCTGCTTGGCTTACGTAAAAAAAAAAAAGGATGTCTGAAAAAGCAAGCATCTGTTAATAAAGAGCTTATTGCAAGCCCAGATGTACCCCAAAGTTAACATCACAAGACCTGTCAGTAATAACCCTACTTGGATTGCTGATGCCCAGTCATCTGTAGAAGTGAATTTCTGGCAATAGCAGCGTGGCCTGCAGGCCAGGGCTCTCACCATGCTCTGCCTGCGACCACGGGAGGGCCAGCAGCGCCCGTCAGCCTGCTGCGCCACACCAGCCTTCAGTGCTGTGTTTCCAGATGCTTTCCAACTGCTTCCTTCAGGATATTTTATCGGTCCCTGCCAGTGATTTAAACTTTCCATTATGTGCTTTCCCACTCAAAAATCCTGTGAAATCTTAAATATACCTGATGGAAACACTCTGCACATATGATCCTTGCAATCTTCCTATTTGTTTTCCATGCTTAACGGGTAATTTACTAATCACTTTGGGGATCAGAGATCACTAATAATACAGTTCAGAACAAAGATTTTCCAGCATCCCTAATTCTTGTTACTGCAAGGTACGTACCTATTTGTGCTGAAGGACAGAACAAAAACTTGCTGACCCTTTCACTCCATTCATAAAGAAAATCAGGAAGGTAAACGCTCTGTGAACTGTGAACACAACAGTCCCTTACAGAAACTGCATTTTGACTTTAACTGGAACACCATTAAAAACTCACAAGACTGACAAAATGTAGATCAAGTTTGCTGAGGTACTTATAAATACCATCAGCTTTCTCAGCTTAACACTCAGTTACGATCTTCAAAATACCAGTTTTTGCAAGTACAGTATGTTCCTTACTAGAACTGACTTAGGCAGTTTACAAGCAGCAATAAGTAACAGCTGAGCAAAAGGAGACTCCACCCAAACATTTTTTAACCAATTTTTCTTATATCCATGCCAAAATAATTGGATGGAAAAAGAGCTGTCATTTTTAAAAAGTGCAAGAGTAACAGTTTCGTGCTGCTTTTCTTTTTCAGCTCTGCAAACCATCTCCTCTTCGTGCTGTTCCCAAACAATGTAGAACTCAGCACTGTGCAGGACCGAACACCAGACAAGCAGGCCTTGGGGCACGGTGGGCCTGATGGCACCCCAGTATGCAGTGCCTTCCGTACACATAGCAGTGAGTCCCTTATGGCTCCCAGTGAGTGAGAATCTACAGAAATGTAATTTCAACTGCTACCTCCTTTGGGTAGGTGAAGTGATGTAATTTGATCTTTCTTATACAAAGAATTCCAACTGTAAATGCATATAGGTTCACGAGGTCTGCTCTTGGGCTGAAGGACTGGGATTGCAGTATGAAATCTAAGCTGCAAACAGACTTTCAGCCCCATAAATATCTGTTTTACAACTACAAAGTGACAACTATGAAAAGGTATCAAAAATATTGGCTCCTTTTCCTTTTATATTGTGTTGGAAGGAATGCTGTGATAAATTTAATTCTGTTTAAAATAGAAAGGATCTGGACTGTGTTTTTCATGAAATTGGCACTTGGTATTTTTTTGATGTTCCCAGATGTTTGTTTCACTCACAAAGGTCTGTCAGAAACAAATTCCAACAACACCAATACTTTATAATATGGTAAGACTTGATTCTTAATGTACAGAAGCTCATGTATAGAAGCTCAATATTGTATCATAATTTGTTGGGTATTACATGTTAAAATTAAATCCCCACATAAGAGATTGATCATATATTTGCACCACATTTCAGTCAAAATGTAAATCTTAAAGATGAAGGTGAAGAACAACTCCAGTATCTTTACGCTGTCAGCTCCAGATAACTCAGTTCCAAAGAGAAAAAAAAGTCTTAATTCAGAAACTGATATATGGCTGCTAAGAAGCAATAAATCTACTGCACCTTTGGGAGTTAAGCTTACAGGTTGCCTATGACTTATGATTGCTTCTAATTAATAGTCTTCTCTGTACTGAAAGAATCCTGATATTTAAAAACAAACATCAAACATTTGGAATTCCTTTTTTAGGGAGCTTCACTTTGTGAGTTAATAGCCATAACCTTTGAATAACCCAAGGAAATACAGCTGAGGCCGGCTCCCCCAGACTGCCCATAAAGAATATTTTGCACATGAAATACAGGAAACAAAGCAATAACTAGGATAGTAAACATCCAAATCCTTGCCCTGCTGGCAACTGACCAAGCTATCTGCTCTAACAGAGCACGACCCCTCAGTAATGAAAATACAGCTCGGTCTTGTTTGTTCATGTCCAGTGTACTTGCAGTTAAGTGTACAACAGACCAAGGAAACTCTGCTGCTTCAGATGGAGGACTCTCAGCTGACTCTTGATTTTGGCTGTTCTCAAGCCAGGCCTTGTGCAAAATAGGACTTGGGACATGTCACAATATACAACAACCAAACACCTGCAGGATCCAAACTTTGGACTTGGGGTGAAAAATGGCAGCAATCAACTAAATATGTCTACTGCCTTCTGCAAGCAGCCGTGATACTGAGAAGGCAACCAAGGTCACTGAATAAAAGAACAAAGAAAGGAGAAAAAGAAAAATATGACAAAATCAAATCCTGCCTTAACCACAATTTTCACTGAAGTTTATGGAAGAGGAGGAAACAGGCAGCAACACAGATCTCAATCAACTGTTTTTCACAGTTTGTTGATATTAGTTGCTTCAAATAAATCAATCACAGCATCAACTGTTAATAAACTGATATATACTTTATTGTGCACAAGAGACTAAGATGACAGGAAACTGTGGTTATCAAAACTTTACAACTAAGCACTTTCCACAAGTCTCTGAAATACTGAACATAAAGTGTAGTACAAATGGGATGTTCTGACTGGCCACAGGTATTAGCAAGTACATTTCTAATGTTCTTGGATTTTAAAAAAAATCTGGCATTTGGATCCTAAAGAAATATACTTATCTATTTAAAGGTGAGAATACTGTGTGGAACTGGTAGGTACATGGCAGCGAAATATGGTTAACTTCATGAACATCCCCAAAATGACAAACAACAAGATGGCAGATCAGTCACCTCACAGGAAGGGCTGTCAGCACAACCAACAGTACAGTCTTCTTGTGAAGCGTGAGGTAGATATACGTAACAGAAAGAATGGTACATACATACATACAAGAAATGGTTAGAAAAAGGCAGGGGAACGTTTACAATCATCGACATCTACAGACATTTTGGAAAATCCATTTCCATGCGGGAAACACTACGAAAACATTCTAACACAGAAAGCTCTGACTTCTTGAAACATCAATATAGTAATGTCCAACACCAGAGGCTCTAACAGGTTAGTGATTAGGCAGCGAATGTCACAACAAGCAGTATGGTTTGGAGTTTAAGTATGTTACTGATAGCTTTCAGAGAAAAGGTGTCCCTTTTAAACCCAGTCCTCCCATTGTTGCATAAGAAGTTCCTTTGGAGTGAATTTGATTAGGCTAAAAGTTGCTACTGTGATGAGCCAGCACGCGGGCAGCCCCCTGAAGCCCTGCTTTAAAGGCGTGTGCTGGGACATCAGTAGTACACAGATGTCCCGGTGGCTTTCCACAACAGGCAGACGTTTGCCACATGAAATTCAGTGTGACAAGCCCAGCTTCAATTGCATTGAGAATGAGTGACTTTGCAGTTACATATTCAGATAGCTTGCCACACCAAACACAGAGACTTGCAGTAGACATGAATAGCTGTTACAAAAGCAGAGCTTACAGGTGTATCAGTACTCTGAATCACAGGCAACTTAATAGCTGGAAAGTACTATCGGTTTCTGTAATAAAGCTATTAACTTGGAACGCCCATTTTAGTTCCCTCTCTCTCTTGAATCAGAAATGCCTCTTCCATCTGCTGAAGAATTACATGTATTTTTGGTAATCTCCAATAGCCAATTAATTCAGATCGATTAAAATTTCTGAATTAAACAGCTAAGTACACTAAGTTCAGTTAATTAAAATATTTGAAATCAAAGCCAATAAACTGAATCTTTGAACTTTATATATTTTTGGTTTATCCAACAGTAAATATAAATCTCTACATCATTTTAAAATTAGAGTATTTTTTTATAAAAACATTCTTAATGCAGCACATTTCCCTCAAAAATATAGTTATCTATTTTACATAGAAGTTTTTCACCCATCCCTCCCAACAACCAAATTTAAAACTTCTTATGAGAAACTACTCAATAAAATATCTGAAGGAAAGGGTTAAAACAAGGAAAGAATTTACAGAGTATGTAAATTTCACAGTAACTGAAATTAAACATTTCATATAGAGTAACTTACATTTATCTAAAACATTTAAATATATCTTTATACACAAATTTAATGTAGTAAAATATAGCTATGATTGAACTTAAAGACTCTAGTCTTCTTTGAAGACATCTTTAAAGACTTTACACATAGAATATGCTTTTACAATACATTCTGCTGAAGGTTAGGGCAAAGCACTTTCTTTTTGACCACACAGGTAGCACCTTCATCCTCTTATCAGAACCAATCCTGCACACTCTTGTGCATGGGTAGAACTACACTTGCATGACAATTCCTGCTGATGTTTCCAGGAAAACTCATTGGCTTGGTAACATAAAACCTATGGCAACATAAGCTTTTCACGTGCTTAACTCTGCACTGGATGTCTCTATAGACTCTGAGAATACCAGTAAATTGTAGAGCTGAGCACGCTCAGGTACTATCAAGATGATGCACGTAGCTACCCACAGGCATGAATGTTTGCAGGATTAGTAACAAATTTGGTTCAAATTGAGCAATATTCTTCTACCCAGCTCTGGGCACTTAACATCCATTGCATATCTTGCACTTTGACCACCCTCACATCAGCAAGGCAC